CTTTGTTTAATTAACACGATAATTAATGTGCAGTATGAGTAGGTATAAACGCCCTGCATGATACTGATAAAAAAGGTCAAGACCTTCATATCACGTACCTACATTGGCCTGGAAGATTTATGATACTGTAGTTTGCAATAAAGGTTGACACATGATTAATATCTTTCATCCAATGAACGTTCTATAATAATCGTTCGTTTCAGCCAAATGACGCTGACGTCGCGTCCACTGGACAAAGACAAAGGCCTCCGTTAGATAAGTCTTCTCGTCTGACACGAGAAGATTTTTACCCATGTGTTAACATGGTTTACATTAACTGCCGACTTTTAATTAAAGTTTAACAGAGACAGTGAAAACTGACGAAATCGAGTCCAATGTGGGAATTGAGCGCAAGAGCAGGTTATCGTGTTGCGGACACGAGAGACGGCGCCCGCGCGCCGCCGCGGTCTCTGTGGCCATCCGGATAACCTGGATTACTCAAATGACAATCCGTTAAGTAAACGATAAGTCCTGCATAATTATTATCAACGAACTTTCGTTCTTCTCATAAAAACTCATAAAACTCATTTATTTTTGCAAATAGGCTTTTAAAAAGCACTTTTACACGTCCCAATATTAACCCTACCACTGCTTCGGGACAATAAATGGGCCAGTGCTGAGAAGAAGCAGCGCAAGAAACTCAGTCACTATTCTATTTTATACTTTCAAAAAATCCTTTAGGCTATCTTGCTACAGGATTTTCTCTTTTTTCTTAAAACTCTTTCTAATTTTTCTTATTCTTAACCTCAGTTCTAACAGTAGGAATATAAAAAATCTTCTACTGACTAGGTAGGTATGATGTGCTTACTAAACACATTTTGACACATTTGGTCTATCTTGTTTTGTAGGTAGTAGTTAAGATAAAAGGTTTTATCGACCAAAACCCACTCGTAATATCTACGTGGGCGACAAGCAGTAATCGCGGAAAATAAAACTGGGCGTCCCGCGTCGGCAAAATCAAACATAAAATATGGCAATATTTCAGCGCGTTCTTGGTGGTAACGTAATTTGAACGTGTACTTTAAGCAGGTAGTTTTTAACATGTTTCAGTACTTTCAGTATGTATGTAAACTAAATTCTGTCTGTGTTTTCACTATGCCGGATCTGCAGTTTCTGAAGCATGGAGCGCAGTTTGCACTGGATTAGCTGGAACTTTGTGTAGGAAATAACTTGACGATTCTCCAAATGGAATTGCACATACCTACAACGTAGCTTAGCCAAGTCAATTTCCAACCCAATCCATTTGGATGTAAGCCTGACTAGCAAAAGAGCGATGACATTAAGTCCTGGAAAAACTGACGTTCTACTAGCTAACTCTACGAATTTATTACGAATTAGTCGAAAGTAGAGTATTGCGAAGAAACTTACTTTCGCTAGGGATTTTCCTTGGTGATAAATTTATGTAAGTTAAATATTATGCGGAACCTAAAAAAGATAAGACTAGGTGCAGTATGTAACGTTAACGTGACGGTTGAATATTTGAAATAAAGCATGGTTAACAGTGCACGACGCACGCAGCCGACTTAGTTAGGACTTTGTAGGTAATTACGCCGAAAGAACAGTCTGAAAATGCACTATGTATGTGTAATGCTGTGCTGTGGCGGTACTTTTTGGTAGGTTATTCTCAATATTACTAACTAACAATAAAAACTGATTAAAAAAAATTAAAAGTACGTCATGTGCGGTCGGTCTTACTCAACCAACCGTTTGGAACCAAAAATTGCTATTCTACTACTTAAAATATATTTTATAAATATAAAGTGAAACAGACCGAGAACTGAAAATCAAAGCACAAAAAGGGTGTTTTCGTTAAATTTAAATTTTCAAGTCACGTAAATTTCTAAAAGTGACTATTATAGCAATCTAAAAATATTCTAACATACAAAGTTAGATACGACTGGATCATTGACGGCTCAGGCCGTCCGCGGGAGAGCGCGGAGGCTGCGATCAATATGTCCCACCCGCCACCGCCGCGCGCCGACGAAAGCGAACGCACCGACCTCGCTGCCCTTCACCGCTGTGTCGACGACCCCTGGACCCCGCGGCCCCTCCCCCCCACCCGCACCACGCTCCCCAACTCGAACAGCCCTACGCACTTCCCAAACCATCTTCGTGACCCGTTTATTTTAAGTGTCATTTATGTCCCGCGGATACCAATCCCAAACAAAATCCTGATTTCATCAGTGACAAATTAATGACTCATATTTTTCTCGGTAGGTGCTGATTCAGCGTTAAACGTTAAGATTTTTTGAATCAGAAAGTATTATCTCTCAAACAGTGACACCTAACATAAAACTGAGAATGAACAAAGAATGAAAAGGAAAAGCTTTCAATTTGGAAGCTCGTCTCAATTCCGCTCGTAACAAGTAGGTAAAGATATTTTTTTAGAAATAGCGCATTCCAAATTTTTAACATTCAAAGCTCTTGCAGAGCTTTTTAAATCTCCCAGAAATTAATTAGGGACATTACGTACCTACTAACTTATGACATGATTATTAATTAGTTTTTAACCAGTGACGTAAAACTAAATCGACTAAAACGTTGTTTTCTAAAACCGGAGTCGGATTTCAAAATACTGGGTCAGCGTCAAGATACTATTTTGAGCAGCACGCGTGGCATTTGGGACGTGTGCTGGAAAATTACTACCTACTGATCTATTCTCGGATGTCCTAGAAAGAAATATTAATATTTAACATGAAAAGTTACCAGATCAATATCAATTTTACTTTCTACCAGTGAACTAATTCAGTTTTGTTGGTTGTCTCTTTATACTGTCTGGATGAAATTTTGACGCACTCACGTAAAGATACATCTTCATGCTCCTAACGCATGATTTTCTAAAAGATGTTTAATTGAATCTCGAAAGAAATCATTCACGGTCTCGTGAGCTTTAAATTAATTCATGTCTCTATCCAGAGCAACTTAGTAAAAAGTGCAGTTAATTAGGTTTGGCTGTGCTGAGCACCAACTATGCAAGAGAACGGGCTTAATCTAGCCTTTTTTCTACTAAATGTAACGGTACTTTTACTAATATAACTAAGTAATTGCTTGTTTGGTTATGCAGCTTCTACTTGGCTAAATCGTCGTCAGCGTGAGTGACGAGTTGCAATGCCACAGAAATGATTAATTTATATTTTAAAGAACCGCAATTTTATGTAAGAACTAGAAGCATCTGTAACTTTTTTGAAGTTATATTTCACCAAGGATAGTGTTGTTGGTCTGTTTTCTTCCGCACGGCACGTGGTCGGTTCCTATCGATCGCTGCCGCCCGCCTCCATCCGATGCGACAGAGATGCGTACATTGTACACTTGACATTCGCGTATACGTAGTCCGCCCCCAACCCCCCGCTTTTCAGCGGCCCTCCCCTTGAAAGGGTTCACTAACCCATTCTATACAAACAAGTTCAGTTTAAAAAACGATTTGCAAACATTTACATTATCTGAGTACAAAATACACAGGAAAATTAGTACTATCGTGTTTTATACAGGCGACTGGCGGAAGTTTGTTATCATCACATGTCAGAATCCTCGCGTAACTAATTATACTCTTTGTTTGTCACAGGAGAGGAGCATCCCGGCCAGAAACAACGGAAAGGATTCTTCAGGAGCCTATGGAAAAAATCTCGTCACTACTCATTAGAGCATCCATGATGCGCTAACAGACTTTTGATACTAATACGAATCGGAAAAATATTTCATAAGAAACCTTTGGAAAATGATGCTAATAGGACAACCTTAAACTTCTTCTAGTACCTCTTACTATAGAGCTGCAAGTGAGATAGGAACTGAACGTTCCATGCACATATTGTAAGTGAATATACCAACGTTTCTGGCATTGTGTCACACATAATGTATTTTATACTTTCAAATCACCAAGTTCATTAATTAAGCTTTAGGACATATTTGTGAATAATACGGCGTTGGATTTGGGTATAATGAATTACCTATAAGAAAAAAATAACAAATTTATTTTTGAGATAAATAAAGCCTACTCGGCTTTGTATGCTTGCATGTTCAATGATCAACAAATAATCAAGATTGACGTGTTAGCTTGTTGAAATCGCGTGTTATGTTTGTGTTAAATCGAAATGTATAGCAGTATCATTAATTTGTCTAATATTATTGTATTCAACGCATAATTTATTTGTAAGATCGCATGTATTTCAATCAAAAACTAAATTTTCCTTTTGAATAGCTAAAGTGTAGAAATGTAGATAACCACGTAGCATGTACGTACAATAAGTTTCGGTTATAAAACCCATGTCAGTTAGAGTTCAGATAAAAGTTTTGGATCTACATTTATATTCACAATAAAAATATCACATGATAAGAGTTTACACACTGAATTTTCCACGTTTTCTTTATAACCACATAATTCACCTGGTTACAGCCAAGCACGCGAAACGCATATCGGTGGCGATATTGCACAACGAGACACGGCGTTGATACACCGTGATGTTATTCACGCGTCGAAACGTGATTGTTGTGCTATTGCAATAATTATTATGTTGAACGCGGAAATTTTTGGGCCCCATTGATCCAGGTGGATATATGGTTTCATGGTTGTAGTACTAGGGATGGTTCTGTGTGTTGTAATTTTAAAAGAACCACTTGATAGGCTATTGCTACAAGTTTAACATTTTATACCAATCCTTGTATTCGAGTGTACTTAACTCAATAATATTGTAGATTTGTCAAAAGAAAATAAATTATGTTCATTAGCAATATCTACTTCGTATTATTGGTAACTTTACCCTCTAAACCCCTTGATAAGATAGGTAATTTTGTAAGAAAAAACACTTTTTATAATACAAATCATTTTATTATTAGATAGACACAGTTCCCATCGCTTATCAGAAACAATGTACAAAGCTATAGTAGTAATATCAAATATAAACAATATGCACCCTTCGTTTACTGCAAGCCTTATTTCAGGATACAGGGTAATTGAGCGCTTCTAGTTTCTGTAGCCAAGACATTATAAGAACAGAATGCAAAATGTTTATTATTCACTACACAACATTATAAATGCGACGCAATTAAAAGAAAGCTTAGCAGAACTCTGATATGGGGGCGCGTGTGCCTTCGAGCCGGGGCCCGGCAGCGGGCCGCGCCTCGCCGGTGTATGGGACATATTACTCACACGATGGTTCCAGTGGGACTAGAGATTTTTTAAAATTGTAATACTTGGGTTACAGTGTCTTTCATTTGTAACAAGCCCTTACTACACGAATGCTTATTTTGTAATTATATATAATGTCGTATAATATTGTTACAGTAATTTCATTACGTGGTTATTATACTTCTAATCAAGCATCCGCATGTCCAGATGATCTGATGATTTACAAAGAAATTCATAAAAATATTAAGTGTGATTTTAAGAGACACGTATCAAGATGCTTGAAGAGAAAACCTAAAAAAAATCTCTATACATCATGCTTTGAGACCTGCTTGCAAAGCTTTGATTATGCTTTACTATACGGGTCAAGGAAAGCAAATTTTAAAATACAATTTTAAACCAGTTCACAGTAACAATCACTCTGTGGAAGCGGTGAGCGGTATAAAAAATGGGTCCAGAATCCGCAAAGTAATTGTATCTGCAGTTACTAAACGCATCAGACACTGATGACGCCATAATTTATCAAATATCAAAACAAATGAACGGTCCTTATCACTTTATAGAATATACAAAATGCAGTTACTTATTTCCCTGTGGAAAAAATATTATCTTATAGTATTCTTAGATCACGGCGCGCTTCGATCTGCAAAGAAGAAAAACGAGTTGAAGACTTCCAACCAACAATAAACCGACGAGTGATCACGTGCAAGAGCCAGAAAAATATAAAGTTATGTATTACAACTTACCTCTAATAACCACAGGTAATTAAATAGTCTCCTAACTTCTCCACTACGGATGCGGCTTGCTGGGGCTGGATGGGTTCTTCGTACAGAGAAATGACAACGGCTGGAACAAAACAGAGACGTAAATTCCACATCCATCTATTACATTTAACAGCTGTAGGGCCTAAATAAGCACAATATCTGTGAATAACTTCAATGTTTCCTACGTTAATGATAAAATAAGAAAAAACTCATATTAATTTTACATGCTGACAAAAAAAAGAGAAAATTAAGACAAAAGCTCAGAAAATTCATACATAATTAGATTGATTTATGGGTTTTTTAACAGTTGTTTACCTTGCTTCGTTTTCATGCAGTGTACGCCGACTTTGCCAAGTTTTGCGCGTATGATGAGGTCTGTGCCACTGAGGTAGATGTACCGCGTGCCCGCTATCGTCACTCCGCCGCTCGTGAGGAGTGACTCATTCTCGAATCCCGCTACTATCTTCGCAACCTCATCTTTTGATATCTGTTGACAATTAAAACATCGCAATCAAGGATACTGAAACAGAAGTTTTTACGAATAACATACATCACACGTAGTTAATGAACTTAACACCCAACTCCAGAGCAGTTACAATCTTTTTGGACAAGTGCGAGTTAGGGAGTTGACAAGTCAAGGCTTAAAATGATACATTTATCTTTGTCTTATAAAAAAATCTATACTAATATTATAAATGTGAAAGTAACTCTGTCTGTCTGTCTCGCTTTCACACCTAAACCGCTAAACCGATTTTGATTAAATTTGGCATAGAGATAGTTTGAGTCCCGGGAAAGGACATAGGATAGTTTTTATCCCGGTTTTTGAAACAGGGACGCGCGCGATAAAGTTTTTCTGTGACAGACAAAATTCCACGCGGGCGAAGCCGCGGGCGGAAAGCTAGTAAATAAATAAAGTTCAGTCACAGTGACTGATACCTATTGGAGTCATTTTACAATTTATAATATCCCAGGCTATCAAGGTCATTTCCTTCCACAAAAAAACTTGAAAAGCATTAAAAGCGGGTTTTCCAACAACTTGAGTGAGTTCATTTCCCGCCTTCGGCAGGTGGATTTTTTCAAGTTGTTTGTTTATTTAAAATCCTATTTTATGTATATGAAGACCATTTCGCTGAACATCCGTAGTTCATTAATCTTTGGCGGTGGAAAAAATAAGACATTTTCACATTCGCGAAAGCGAATATTGTCTTTCCAATAGAGCGCTACGAAATTATTTGGTAGCTTAATCTAATCAAACATCGACATTTGTTATTAAAAAATGTAGGCAGAGTTAACAGTCTCATCTCAAACTAAATCTTTAAATAACGTGAAAAATCGAATTGCTTATGGTGGGGAATCGAATCCACGACCTTTCGCTTGCTCTCACCATAATGAGCTACTTAAACATTGGATGAACCCGTCGAAATTTTTAAACTCGCGGGTTCGGACTTCGGTTCCCACCTTGAACAATTTCGATTTTTTTCAAGTTATTTAAAAATCAACAGCTATTAGTTGAATATTTAAAATACATGTTCATATAATTTTCCCCAAACATACATCGTTTCTTGTGAATGCGAATGTCCAAAAATGGGCGAATATTCGCGGATGCGAATGAAAAACGACAACTTGAATGACCACCTAAGACAATGACTTGACATCCCATCAAAACATTGGTTTTTAAAGCTACAATTGGACACCAAACACAATGGGTTGTACGGGTAATGTACAAGCAAGAAATAAGTAAACAAGCCTAAGTATTATGATATAAGTAAATAATACCGAGTTTTAAAAAAACCGACTCAATATTAAATGAATATTGTGTCGTTCAGTTTCTTTTCGATATTATTTCTAATATCATTAATCATTTATCATTATAGCATTTTATCAATATCAATAGAGTTGAATAGAGACATTCGCTTTTTGTTTACAATCGTTATTAAATACTTCCTTCTAATTTATATTGTTTGGTATTAAAAAAACCGTTCCATCCTACATATGTATTAACGATTTGGTTTCAACAGCCAAATTACAAAACATTTCTCACGTCGATATTCATACTTTCGTGCAATACAATACGGTATTTTACTCCATGTAAGAAAAAAATATAAAAATGCATGTCTTTAATAGATTCCATAAAAAGTAAACGGGAAACTTTGATATTTTTACATAAAAGTGAAAATATAATTTTTAATCCACTTTTAAAAATCATCTTTTTTAATCTGTTCTTCAAATGTCTAAAACGCCAACCGCCATGACGGATCCGCAGTGATGTCACTCTGTTAGTAAACAAGTAGATTTTGGCTTGATTTATGTGTAAAATATTGATTTTTTTTGTGATAATATCACGTTAATGGACTTTAAGTTTTATTTTATTAAAAATGCGTCGTGAAAGACGGTTTTGTGTAAGCAGAAAGTTAGAGTAAAGTTAAAAACTAACGGAGTGACGTCACGAGAAGAATCAGCATGGCGACTAGCGTTTCCGCGCGAAAAGTCAAAATCATATTTACATTCAAGTTTTTAAGGCATTCAATAGGCTTTTAAAATTGAAATAAAAATTCCACTGGTTCATTATAACCTCAGGATTGATTTACAACACATTTCAAGAAAAGGTGTAAGACCCATTATCCTCGTAAGACCGAAGAGTAAATTTTGTCGACTTCTAAGTATCGCCGAATGTGCTTTCAGAAGAACGAATAATTTGTAGTAGTAAACGCCGAGCACTTCGAGTAAAAAAATTTCTATGTTAGAGATTTTCTTTTGCATTCATATTTTCAGGGGCCCTATATAATGGTGCATAGAGCTTATTTTAGTTGAAAAATAATAAAAAAATGTTTTCTCCTTAAAGAACATTCGGCATTACAGACTTTCAAAAGGAAAAGTAAATAAATTGTATTTTATACTTTAAAGTAAAACATAAATGTAACCTAATTAATAAATTAATACTACATAAAGATACAATAATGATATTAATAAATATAACTGAAAAGGAACAACGGATTTAATTTTATATAATGTTTCATAATTAGTACTTTTAAAAGTACTATCGGTTTTATAACATACACTAATGATAGGTTAGAATGTACAAGAAGTAAAGTGAATATTCATGTTAATTATAATATTTACTAAACTAAAAATCAGAACGTTCTCATGGTAAATTTTCTCAATCATATCATAATTTTAAAAGTCTAATACTCAATCCCATCTCAATAGAAAAAATATATAAAAATAAAACTTTCACCATCAAGACCGAATGTTCCTTGCAAAGAACTATTATTTTCAAACGAAAAAAAATCTTGCAAAACTACTTCAAATTGGGAAAAATAATATTTTTGCTTGTTTAGCAGTATTTTAACTTAAATTATACTGGTCAGTTTTGCAATTAAACTACGTTTACGTGAAGAAAAAAAATTAAATAGAATGAAATGTATGAAAACGAGCGTGCCATTTTTTAAACGTTATCTATAATATCTGTGTCCATCAAAGAGCTCGTAACTAAACATCGTAAGCGCCATTCAAATTATTATCTAAAAGTTAATAATAAATATTTAGTTTTTGTAAATCTGAACAAGTCAGGAAATCAAAGAGGTAAATACTGATATCATTGTGATTTTATAGAATTTATTATTATAAACCACGGTCGTATAATGCTAAAAAATCAGAGGTAACTTTAAGATTTTTATCCATAGAGCAAAATTTATCTAATCGTTTTTTTAAGCAGTTATCCCATTAGGTACACATGCGTTCTGTAATACAAACCCATCAAAAACAATACTTTTTAAAAAACCAAGTGTCACTACTCAGTTGTTCTACGGTAAAAAGTTGTGAGATCCATGTAATATCAAGTCCAGTCCAGGAAATCATTAACGTTTTACATAAATATATTGACTTGGCCATCATGAAAACACGTGTAAATTAAATTATTTAGTGCGAAATGAAACGAAATTTTGCATGCCTGTAAATTTTAAGTTGCAAGATTTTACAACTCCAGATGTCAAAGAAAATAAAAGCAAGCTTGTAGATAGCTTTACAAAGAAAAGAAAGATTTATGAAGAAAATAAAAAGTACTGTCTACGATACATTTGTTAGGCCGTGTTGCACCGTCTTACTTTAACATTTTAGCTTTAGCTTCTCTTATAACGTTGCAGGTATTGTCAATAGAAGACAGTGGTGTTCTACATAAAGTTTCAAACGCGCTTTTGCTTTGTGATGGGCAAAAATGCAAGAAACTGTTTTTAGATTTCCATACCAAATGATTGTTTTATGTGTTCGTTTTTAATGTTACGCTTAATTACTTACTTAATTTTTCTTGCCAAAACACCAATTTCCAAGGTCTTTTATTCTCAATACTATAAAAATTCTTAATAAAATTAGTTTACAACGAAGTTTTTTTATTTATCCCCTATTTGCCAATGTCCGCCACGGCGAACATTCAAATCTACTCGTTATTTATGACGTCTTTGGCAGTGTCCGCTGTGACGGACACGAATTTTCCCAACTCTGGGAAATGCAGGATTTTTTTTCATATTTTTTTAAAAGTTCTTAGCATACCCTTGATGCCTTACATTCATCAAACTCATGTATTTCCATTTTTTATGTCGTTGCCAAATGAAGGGTTAACACATTTTTCATTCAGGATTTAATGCTAAGGGTTATTTTCGTTTTTTCTTAAATCTCATGTCGAAACTATGTGTAAACAAAAAATTCTTAGGTAGGTTTTTTTCGAATCAATGTACTTTTGTCCAAGAATGAAGTAAAGGTGCTCCCTCACCGGAGCATTCGCGTGAAATGTAACGTTACAGTTTCGAGCTTTACTGAGGTAATGAGTAAAACCGACCATTACAACGCGTANAGTAGGTAGATATTTTACGAACTTTTTAACGTGAATGTTCTCTAATAGGCCAGTAGAATTAAACACAAAAATGAATTAAATCTGAAACAATTCCTACTAAAGATTTTAGTGCTTTAATGGCTTCATTAGTTGCCCATAAAGACTCTCCTAGGTTTTCGACTTCGACGGAGTTGTGCTTAAGTGGTGGGGGCCCCCGAAAGGGGCGCTTTTTCGGTTTTCCGGTTATACCACTTAAAGGACTTACCCTATCGAAAAGTGGTCTTCCTGACGGTTGAAGGGCATTTAATCCTGCATTAAATAAGACCAAATATACAGTGTGTCCGGGCATGTAGTGATCAAACTTTAAGGGCGTAATCTATGGGCAATTTTATCGATGAAAATACTTCAATATTGGGGCTTGACCCATTTCTCGCAAAATTACAAGGATTTAAGTTTTTAATTTTAAGTTTTCACCTCTTCCTTCAAAAACAAGTGAAAGCGTGGGCAACTTAATTTTAATAAGCAAAAATTTTATATCATGCGATAGCAAATAAAATTANTGGCATGAAGTGCGAAGTAACTTGGTGAGAAAGCTAACCATTTACATAAAGTTTAGTTCGTTACATCGAATTTAATAAAAATAATACTAATTAACTTTCCCC